TAAAAGTCAGAAACCACAGGTCTGGAGAGGATAGTGATGAAATAGGAAAACACTTTTACACTGTTGTGATTGTCAACACTGTTCAACCATTGTGGAACATATCGGCGATTCCCTCAAGATCTAGAACTAGAAGTACCATATGACCAGCCCTCCCATTACGGGTATATACCCAAAGGAATATAAATCCATCCCGCCTATAAAACAACATGCACATGTATCGTTCTATTGCCACATTCAATAGCACAGCTTGGAAATCCACCCAAAGTCCCATCATGAAGACTGGATAAGAAAATGTGCCATATACACCAGAATACTATGCAGCCCTAAAAAAGATGAGTTCGTGTCCTTTGTAGGACATGATGCAGCTGGAACCATCATCTCCAGCAAACTATCACAAGAACAGAAAACCAAACACCGCATGTTCTCACTCATAGGTGGGAATTGAACAATGAGATTGGGAAGGGGAACATCACACACCGGGGCCTATTATGGGGAGGGGGGAGGGGGGAGGGATGGCATTGGGAGTTATACTTGATGTAAATGACAAGTTGATGGATGCTGACGAGTTGATGGGTGCAGCACACCAACATGGCATGAGTATACATATGTAAGAAAACTGCACGTTATGCACATGTACCCTATAACTTAAAAGTATAATAAAAAAAAAAAGAAGAAGGCTTCACATGTTGTCACTCCTTTGTGGGTGTGAGAAACTTAAAAAATAGAGCTCATGGAGATGAAGAGAAAAATCACCATTACCGCAGTCTAGGAAGGGTGTGGGTGTGGTAGGAAATTAGGATGCTTAATAAGTACAAACTATAGTTAGACACAATGAATAAAATCTAGCACTTTATAAAACAAAAACATGACTACAGTCAGTAATAACTTGTTGTACATTTCAGCAGTACTGAGGAAGTACAAATTAAAAGCATAAAGAAATGGTTAATGCTTGAGGTGATGGATAACCCATTAACCATGATGTCATTATTACATATTGTATGCCTGTATCAAAATATCTCATTTACTCCATAAACATAAACATCTACAATTTACTCATTAAAATTAAAAACAACAAAAAAATAAAGTAACACACATACAAACACACAGTGTACTAATCAGAACATCTGATTGGTTTAATATAATAAGCGTAACAAAATTGACCAGAACCAATAAAAGTTAAAACCAAATATGTTATCAAACAAAACATTTCATTAGATAAAAGCCATAATTTGAACTGACTTTTAAAGCAAAACAAATATTTTAGAGTACCAAAATAGATCTCTTTAAATAGCTAAAAACCATTGAAATTCCAAATTGGAAACTTCAGAGTATCAAAATGCAAAAGTAGAAACATCTGAATAAAATCTTGTATTTCAAAGCCAGGCCTGGTGGCTAATGCCTGTAATCCCAGCACTATGGGAGGGTGAGGCGGGAGAATCACCTGAGGTCAGGAGTTCAAGACTAGCCTGACCAACATGGAGAAACCCTGTCTCTACTAAAAATACAAAATTAGCCAGGCATGGTGGTGCATGCCTGTAATCCCAGCTACTTGGGAGCCTGAGGCAGGATAATCACTTGAACCAGGAAGGTGGAGGTTGCAGTGAGCTGAGATTGAGCCATTGCACCCCAGCCTGGGCAACAAGAACAAAGCTCTGTCTAACAACAACAACAAAAACAAAACAAAACAAAACAAAACAAACAAAAAAAAACCCTTATATTTTTAAAAAATGTATTTTCCTTATGCATGCAAATCTCATTTTTGAAAACCTAAATAAAAATGATAACGGCTGCATTATTTAGATGAAATCCTGAAACAATATATAAAAGTGAAATAATTGAGAATAGAAAGACTATGAGCATTACAAATCGATTAATGTACATCTTTCCACAGTTAAATCTGCATTACAAAGTTTACCTGGTGTGGATGTTTGTACATCCTTCATTTTGGTGGCTGCATTCAGAACAGAATCTTTATTTTCAATTGTAGCCTGAATGGTTTTAAAACAAAATGATTAGCACATGATGTATATTGTATAGTATATACAGTTAATACAAATGTAAGAGCAATTACCTTCAAGGTGGGCAGATTCTCAGGATACTCTAACAAGCAAAAAAAGTATATAATCAATCATATGTAAATGTGGTAAGGCCAACCATACATTCATAGAGTGTTAGCATCAAACTCAATACTCTTGCCTGTATTAGTGTAGGGTTTCATGTTTTTCTAGTTTGTTTCTTTGAGACAGTAACATGACAGAAATGCACTAAAGAAATTAGGAATACAGGCTTCAAAAAACATACTGTTACAAGTTAAAAAGTGAAATTATGCACCACATCTATTACTAAAAAATAAGTATTAATGTGGATATGCTGACTAACAAGGAGAAATGTGATCTAAAATCAGAGGAGCACCTTGTAACCCTAGAAATATATGTAAAAGTTGGTGCTAACTGTGACTACATGACTTTCATGCAAGACATCAGAAGGATTTATACAATTATACCAAAAATATTCATCATGTTCTTTAACTTGCCCAATAATTGAGAAGGCCCACAATTACAATGACACTTAAGTTGAATGTACACTTCACATTTCTTCAGTGGAAATGTCATGAATTCATCAGTTTGGATATATGTTTGATGAACCTTAGTAGATAATATTCATTATTTATCACACCCATGTGGTGTAATAATCTGCCTATATTTCTTGTATCCTCTAGTTTAGCCTTCAGAAAATTTCTTCATCCACTAATGGCAAGAAGGTATAATATATAAAACCCATCAAAAACTATAATAAATTATACATACTTATACAAAATGGAATTGCTCCAGGCATTATATATTAATGAACTTATATATTTTGAAATCAGGCCAATATACAGTGCAAATAACCATTTTAGGATTCAATTAATACAGTCAACATAATTTTTGTCTCTAAAATTAGTCTGCTCTGGAATATCACTTTATTATAAAGAATTTTCACTAAATAGCTATTTTAACAAAAAAAAAACAGCACATTGGAAAAAAGCTAATGTATTCATATTAAATTTTAACTCATTCGAATAACTAATAAAAATATATCTCTGATGTCTGATAGTAATAAACAGGAATAATGAGACACTGTGGTTTATCCCAATTCTAGCACTCCTTCCTGATTCCAGTAGACATTGGAGCAGCCAGAAGTCAGATCTTCTCGTATGTAAATATTCCAAATGCATTTGAAGTGAGTTCGCTCAGGTTTTCTCAGCAGAAACCCCAAAATTACCTAACTAACTTCTCCCTTCCCCTCTTTCTTGCCTTGCAATTCCTCTTTCTTGATGAAAATAATTACTACATCAGTGGCCACTTTGCTTCTCATTCTCCAGTGTTTACGGGTTATTATGACAACTTCTTCCCTCTGGTTGTAGCAGAACCATCTGACATCTATAACTTCTATTACTTCTTCTCTTTCTCCTTCTCCTCTCCATAGAAACATGCTCTGAAATAACAGCAAATTTATGCTGTCCCCTGATTCTCTTATGTTTTGGACTGTTTTCCAACGGTTCTTCTACATGATTTCAATGTAGGGAAGTCTATAACCTTGTTACTAAGATCATGGCCAAGGAATAGCAGCATCAAAATCACCTGAGAACTTACTAGAAATGCACAATCTCAGGCCTGCTGAATCAGAAAGTGCATTTTCAATGATCCCCCACTGATTTATTCAGGGGTGGGACGTTCTCTTCTATCTTGAGTCCACATAACATTAAATGTGTATTGCCAAACTACCTGTTCCAGATTTCCGACCAGCCATTATTCTTGTGGCAATATTCAAAACAGGAGCTTTCTTTTTAAATATAACCTGAATGGAATAAGAAGCAAAATAGTCAATCCATAATATGTGTTTCATAGACTATACAATTAGTAATTCAAAATATAAATTAAAGAGTAACTACCTTCCAGGCTGACTGTTTTTGAGGAGACACTGAAAAGCAAAAGAAATATATAATCCATCATATGTAAATATGATAAAGTTATCCGTACATTCATGCAGTGTTAGCATCAAGCTGTATCCTCCTGCCTGTACTAGCATCGGATTTGATGTTTTATAGTTTGTGTCTGTGGGACAGGAACATGAAGAAATACACTAAAAAAATAGGAATACAGGCTTCCAGAAAATATACAGTCACAAATTACAAAGACATATTATGGGTCATGTGTGTATTACTGAAATAAAAAGCGTTGACATGAATGTGGATATGCCGAATGATGAAAAGAAATATGATCTAAGATCAGAGGAGCAACTCATACACCCAGGAATCAATGTCAAAGAAGGTAGTAAATGCTACTGCATGTTTCTCATGCAAAACATCAGAAGGATTTATACCGTTATACTACTAATATTCATCATGATCTTTAACTTGCCTGATAATTGAGCAGGTACATGATGACAATGACACTTCTGTAGAATGTACACTTCACAAGTCCTCAGTGGAAGTGTCCCAGGTTCATCAGCATGGATATAGGTTTGGAAAATCCTAGTATATAATATTCTTTATTTCTCAAACCCATGTCATGTAATAATGTGCCTACATTTGTTATGTCCTCTAGTTTAGGCTGGGAAGATCATGTCCAAGACCAGCAGCATCAGCATCACCCGAGAACTTACTACAAATGAAGAATCTCAGGCCTGCTGAGTCAGAATGTGCAGCATCAATGAGTCCCTCGCTGATTTATTTGGGGAAGAGAAGTTCTTTTCTGTCTTGACTGAACATGACATTAAATGTGTTTTGCAAAATTACCTGTCCCAGATTCTTGTCCATCCTTTATTTCTGTGGCTGTATTCGAAACAGAATCTTCCTTGTCACTTGTCGCCTGAATGGAATTTGAAACAAAATAATCAATAAATAAAATATGTTTCATAGACTATACATTTACTAGCTCAAAATATAAATGAGATTTTAATCACCTTCAAGGCTTTTTTTTTCTGAGAAGACACTGAAAAGCAAAAGGGATACACAATCACTCATATGTACATATGATAAAGTTATCCATACATAATGCAGTGTTAGCATCAAGCCGTATCTTCCTGCCTGCATTAGTGTAGGCTTTGATGTTTTCTCCTTTGTGTCTGGGGTTTGGAACATGACAGAAATACACTTAAAAAAAGGAATACAGGCTTCACGAAATATACCTTTGCAATTTCAAACACGGTGTGATTAGTCGTATGTCTAAAATTAAAATAAAACCGTGTCAATATCAATACAGATATGCCAAGTGATGAGCACAAATGTGATCTAAAATCAGTGGAGCAACTCATACACCTGAGAATCAATGTCAAAGCAGGTAGTACATGATCCCGCATGTCTTTCATGCAAGAAACCAGAAGGATTTACATAATTATACTACAAACATTCATCATGATCTTTAACTTGCCCAATAACTGAGATGATACACAATTACAATGACACTTCAGTTCAATGTACACTTCACGTCTCTTCAGTGGAAGTGTCCTACATTGATCAGCTTGGATATATGTTTGCTAAAATCTAGTAGATAATATTCATTATTTCTCACACCCGTGAGGTGTAATAATTTGACTAAATTTCTTGTATTTGCTAGTTGAGACTTCCAAAAGTTTCTTCATCCACTCATGGCAACAAAGGATAATATATTAGCCTCAATAAAAACATCATCAATTATCAATCTTGACATACTTCTACAAAGTAAAACTGCGACAAGCATTAGATGTTAGTAAATTTTACATTAGGAATCACTCTAATATTCATTGAAAATGACCATTTTAGGAGTTAATTAGATTTCAACATAATTTTTGCTTCTAAAATAGTCTTCTTGAGAGTATCATGGTATTCTGTAAAGAGGTTTCATTAAATAGCTATTTTATCCAAGAGTTAGCTCCTTGAACAAGGAAGGCAATGTATTCATATTCAAGTTTATCTCATTTTTTATAACTAAAATCAACAAAACGTGTATCTCTGATGCCGAATAGTAACAAAGAAGAGTAAGGAGTCACTGTGATTTATCCCAATTCTAGCATTGTTTCCCGCTCCAGTAGTTCCTGCAGCAGTGAAAATCAAATCTTCTTTTATACAAATATTGAAAATGCATCTGTAGTGAGTTCACACAGGTTTCCTCAGCAGAAAATCCAAAATTACATAAATAACTTCTTATTTTCCCTCCTTCCAGCCTCACAATCCCTCTTCCTTGAGGAAAATAATTGCTACATCAGTGGTCTGGTTAGTTCTCATTCTACAGTGTTTATGGGGTATTTGGATCACTTTTCCCTCTGTTTATAGCAATACGATCTGATGCTTATAATATCTGTTACTTCATCTCTTTCACCTTCCCCTCTTGATGGAAACATGCAGTAGAATTAAAGCAAAATTATTCTGTCCCCTGAACCCCTTATGTGTTGAACTGCTCTCCAATGGTTCTTCTTCCCAATTTCAATGTAGGGCAGTCTATAATCTTACTACTCAGATCATGGCCAAGGACCAGCAGCATCAGGGTCACCTGAGTACTTATTAAAATGAAGACTCTCCAGTGTGCTGAATCAGAACGTGCAGCTTTGATGAACTCCCCACTGATTTATTTGGGGAAGTGAATTTCTCTTCTCTCTTGATTGAATATCACATTAAATGTGTATTGTAAAATTACCTGTCCCGGATATTTGTCCATCCTTTATTTCTGTCGTTATATTTGAAACAGAATCTTTCTTGTCACTTGTAGCCTGAATGGGATTTGAAACAAAATAATCAATACATAGAGTATATTTCATAAACTATAGAGTTAATAGTTCAAAATACAAACGAGATTTTAATTACCTTCCAGGCCGGTTGTTTCTGAGAAGACACTGAAAAGCAAAAGGGATATATAATCAGTCACATGTACATATGATAAAGTTATTCAAACATTCATGCAGTGTTAGCATCAAGCTGCATCTTCCTGCCCGTCTTAGTGAAGCCTTTGATGTTTTATATTTTGTATCTTGGGACAGGAACACGACAGAAATACACTGAAGAAAACAAGAATACAGGTTTCACGAAATATACACTAATCATTTCAAACATATTACGATCTGTCATATGACTAAAACTAAAATAAAACAGTGTCAGTTTCAATAAGGATATGTCAAGTGATGAGAACAAATGTGGTCTAAAATCAGAGAAGCAACTCAATCACCTGGGAACCAATGTCAAAGGAGGTGGTACATGCACCCGCATGTCTTTCATGCAAGATACCCGAATGATGTAGACCATTGTACTGCAAACATTCATCATGCTCTTACTGTAAAATCTATACTTCATCTCTTTCTCCTTCCACCCTTAGTGAAAACATGCTGGAGAATTAAAACAAAATTATGCTGTCCCCTGAGCCCCTTATGTCTTGACCTGCTCTCCATATTTCTTCTTCCCAATTTCAACATGGGGAAATATATAATCTTACTGCAAAGATCATGTCCAAGACCAGCAGCATCAGTGTCACCCGAGAACTTATTACATATGAAGAATCTCAGGCCTGCTGAATCAGAATGTGCAGCATCGATGAGTCCCCCGCTGATTTATTCGGGGGAAGAGAAGTTATTTTCTATCTGGACTGAACATGACATTAAATGTGTTTTGCAAAATTACCTGTCCCAGATTCTTGTCCATACTTTATGTCTGTGGCTATATTCGAAATAGAATCTTTCTTGTCACTTGTAGCCTGAATGGAATTTGAAACAAAATAATCAATAAAAAAGTATATTTCATAAACTATACAGTTAATAGTTCAAAGTATAAAAGACAGTTTAATTACCTTCAAGGGTGGTTGTTTCTGGGAAGACACTGAAAAGCAAAAGGGATACATAATCACTCACATGTACATATGATAATATTATTCATACACTCATGAAGTGTTAGCATCAAGCTGTATCCTCCTGCCTGTATTAGTGTAGGCTTTGATGTTTTCTACTTTGTGTATGGAGACTGGAACACGACAGAAATAGATTGAAAAAAAAGGAATACAAGCTTCACGAAATATACCCTTACAACTGCAAACTTGGTATGATTTGTTCTATGTCTAAAACTAAAATAAAACAAAGTTAATATCAATGTGGATATGCCGAGTGATGAGGACAAATGTGATCTAAAATCAGAGCAGCAATTCATACACCTGAGAATCAATGTCAAAGCAGGTGGTACATGATCCCACATGTTTTTCATGCAATACATCAGAAGGATTTACACTATTATACTACAAACATTCATCACGTTCTTTAACTTGCCTGATAACTGAGAAGGTACACAATTACAATGACATTTCAGTTGAACATACACTTCACATCTCTTAAGTGGAAGTGTCCTAAGTTGATCACCATGGATATATGTTTCCTGAATTCGAGTAAATAATATTCATTATTTCTTACACCCATGTGATGCAATAATTTGCCTAAGTTTCTTGTATTCTCTAGTTTAGCCTTTCGAACATTTCTTCATCCACTCATGGCAACAAAGTATAATACATAAACCTCAATTAAAAGCATCCTCAATTATATTAATTTTGACATACTTCTACTAAATAAAACTGCTACAAGCACTGGATATTAATAAGTTTTTCCATTCCGAAATCACACCAATATTCATTGAAAATGACCAAGTAGTCAGTTTACCAATTCCACATTACTTATGTTTCTAAAACAGTATTGTTAGGAGTATCATGCTATTCTCTACAGAATATTCATTAAATAGCGATTCTATCCAAGACTTTGCTCTTTGATCAAAGAAGCAAATGTATTCACGTTCAACTTTATCCAATTTTTACAACTAAAATCAACAAAACATGTAAGTCTCATGCCTAATAGTAACAAAGAGCAGTAATTAGTCAATGTGGTTTACACCAATTCTAGCATTCTTTCCTGCATCCTGTAGTTCCTGGTGTTTCCAAAATCAAATTTTCTTTATGCAAATATGTCAAATGCCTCTGAAGTGAGTTCACTCAGGTTTCCTCAGCAGAATTACATAAATAACTCCTTCTTTTCCCTCCTTCCTGCCTCACAATCCCTCTTCCTTGAGAAAACTAATTGCTACATCAGTGGACTCATTAGTTCTTGTTCTACACTGTGTACAAGTTATTACGATCACTTTACTGTCTGTTTTCAGCAGTACGATGTGAATGTAAAATCTATACTTCATCTCTTTCTCCTTCTACCTTTGGTAAAAACATGCTGTAGAATTAAGGCAAAATTATTCTGTCCCCTAAGCCCCTTATGTCTTGACCTGCTCTCCAAGGTATCTTCTTCCCAATTTCAATGTGGGTAAGTCTATAATCTTATTGTGAAGATCATGTCTAAGACCAGCAGCATCAGCATCACCCAAGAACTTATTACAACTGAGGAATGTCAGGCCTGCTGATTCAGAATGTACATCTTCAATGAGTCCCCCGCTATTCATTCAGGGAAGAGAAGTTCTTCTACATTTGGACTGAACATGACACTAAATGTGTTCTGTAAAATTACCTGTACCAGATTTTTGTCCATCCTTTATTTCTGTGGCTATATTCGAAACAGAATCTTTCTTGTCACTTGTAGCCTGAATGGAATTTGAATCAAAATAATCAATAAATAATGCATATTTCATAGACTCTACAGTTACTAGTTCAAAATATAAATGAAAATTTAATTACTTTCAAGGCTGGTGGTTTCTGAGAAGACACTGAAAAGCAAAAGGGATACATAATCACTCATACATAAATATAATAAAGTTATGTATACACATGTACAGTGTTAACACCAAGCTGTATCCTCCTGCCTGTATTAGTGTAGGCTTTGATGTTTTCTACTTTGTGTCTGGGGACTGGAACATAAAAGAAATACACTGACAAAAGTGAACACAGGCTTCATGAAATATACCCTTACAATTGCAAACACGGTATGATTTGTCATATGTCTAAAACTAAAATAAAACCGTGTCAATATCAATGTGGATATGCCGAGTGATGAAGACAAATGTGACCTAAATCATGGAGCAACTCATACACCTGAGAATCAATGTCAAAGCAGGTGGTACACGATCCCGCATGTCTTTCATGCAGGAAATCAGAAGGATTTATATAATTATACTACAAACATTCATCACGCTCTTTAACTCATCCGATAACTAGGAAGGTACACAATTACAATGACACTTCACATCTCTTCAGTGGAAGTGTCCTAAATTGATCAGATTGGATATATGTTTGTTGAAACCTAGTTGATAATATTCATTATTTCTCACTCCCGTGTGGTGAAATAATTTGGCTAACTTTCTTGTATCTGCTAGTTTAGCCTTCTGAAATTCTCTTCAAACATTCACAGTAACAAAAAATAATATATTAGCCTCAATAAAAAGATCATGAATTACCAATTTTGACATACTTCTACAAAGTTACACTGTTACCAGCATTAGATATTAATAAAATTTACGTTCAGAAATCACTCCAATATTCATTGTAAATGACCATTTTAGGAGTTAATTTGAATTCAACGTAATTTTTGTTACTAAAATAGTCTTGTGGGGAATATCACACTATTCTCTAAAGGAGTTTCACTGAGTAGCTATTTTATCCAAGAGTTAGCTCCTAGAACAACGAAAGCAATGTATTCATATTCAAGTTTATCTCATTTTTATAAGTAAAATCAACAAAACATGTATCCCTGATGCCTAATAGTAACAAAGAAGAGTAAGGAGTCACTGTGGTTTATCCCAATTCTAGCACTGTTTCCTGCGTCCAGTAGTTCCTGGAGCTGCCAAAATCAAATATTCTTTCATGCAAATATTCCAAATGTATCTGAAGTGAGTTCACTCAGGTTTCCTGGACGGACACCTCAAACTTTCATAAATAACCTCATCTTTTCCCTACTTCCTGCCTCACAATTCCTCTTGCTTGAGCAAAATAATTGCTACATCATTGGTCTTGTTAGTTCTAATTCTACAGTGTTTTTGGGGTATTACGATCACTTTGCCTCTGTTCATAGCAATATGATCTGATGTCTATAATATCTATTACTTCATCTCTTTCTCCTTCCCCTCTTGATGGAAACATGCTGTAGAATTAAAGGAAAATGATGCTGTCTCCTGAGCCTGTTATGTGTTAAACCGCTTTCCAATGGTTCTTCTTCCCAATTTCAAAATAGGGAAGTCTGTAATCTTAGTACTCAGATCACGGCCAAAGACCAGCAGCATTAAGCTCACCCGAGAACTTATTACAAAAGAAGAATCTCAGGCGTGCTGAAACAGAACGTGAACCTTCGACGAACCCCACGCTCACTTATTTGGGGAAGAGAAGTTCTCTTCTATCTTGATTGAACCTGACATTATATGCGAATTGTAAAATTACCTGTCCCAGATATTTGTGCATCCTTTATTTTGGTGGTTATATTTGAAACAGAATCTTCCTTGTCACTTGTAGCCTGAATGGAATTTGAAACAAAATAATCAATGCATAAAGCATAGTTCATAGACTATACAGTTACTAGTTCAAAATATAAATGAGAGTTTAATTACCTTCAAGGCTGGTTGTTTCTGAGAAGACACTAAAAAGCAAAAGGGACACATAATCACTCATATGTACATAAGATAATGTTATTCATACATTCATGAGGTGTTAGCATCAAGCTGTATCCTCCTGCCTGTATTAGTGTAGGATTTGATGTTTTCTACTTTAGAAATACACTGAAAAAAAGGAATACAGGCTTCACGAAATATACCCTTACTATTTCAAACATGGTATGATTAGTCATATGTCTAAAACTAAAATAAAACTGTGTCTATATCATTATGGATATGCTGAGTGATGAGGAGAAATATGATGTAAAATCAGTGCAGCAATTCATACACCTGTAAATCAATGTCAAAGCAGGTGGTACATGATCTTGCATGTCTTTCAGGCAAGAAAGCAGAAGGATTTATACCATTATACTACAAACATTCATCATGCTGTTTAACTTGCCTGATAACTGAGAACTTACACAATTACAATGACACTTTAGTTGAATGGACATCTCACGCCTTTAAGTTGGAAGTGACCTAAATTGATCAGTTTGCATATATGTTTTCAGAATCAGAGTAAATAATATTCATTATTTCTCACACCCATGTGGTGTCCTAATTGGCCTAAGTTTCTTGTATTCTCTAGTTTAGCCTTCTGAACATTTCTTCATCCACTCATGGCAACAAAGTATAATATATACACCTCAATAAAGAGCATAATCAATTATTAATTTTGACATACTTCTACTAAATAAAACTTCTACAAGCATTGGATATTAGTAAGCTTTTCCATTCAGAAATCACGCCAACATTCATTGAAAATGACCATTTTAAGGGTCAGTTCATGAATTCAACAGTATTTTTGTTTCTAAAATAGTCTTGCTAGGAGTATCATGCTATTCCCTAAAGAATATTCATTAAATTGCGATTTTATCCAAGAGTTACCTCTTTGATCAAAGAAGCCAATGGATTCATATTCAAGCGTATCTCATTTTTAAAACTAAAGTCAACGAAACATGTAAGTCTGATGCCTAATAGTAACAAAGAGGAGTAATTAGTCATTGTGGTTTATCCTAATTCTAGCATTCCTTGCTGCATCCTGTAGTTCCTGGAGCTGCCAAAATAAAATCTTCTTTCTGCAAATATGCTACATGCATCTGAAGTGAATTCACTCAGGTTTTCTGAGCAGAAATCACAAAATTACATAAATAACTTCTTCTTTTCCCTTCTTCCTGCCTCACAATCTCACTTCCTTGGGAAAACTAATTGCTATATCAGTGGTCTGGATACTTCTCGTTCTAGTGTCCACGAGTCATTACGATCAAGTTTCCATCTGTCTTTAGCAGTACAGTGTGATGTTTGTAAAATCTATACTTCATCTCTTTCTCCTCCCACCCTTGGTGAAAACATGCTGTAGAATTAAAGCATAATTATGCTGTCCCCTGAGCCCCATACGTCATGATCTGCTCTCCAGTGTTTTTTCTTCCCAATTTCAGTGTGTGGAAGTCTTTAATCTTACTGGGAAGATCATGTCCAAAACCAGCAGCATCGGTGTCACCCGAGAACTTATTACATATGAGGAATCTCGGGCCTGCTGAATCAGAATGTGCAGCATTGAAGAGCCCCACGTTGATTTATTCAAGGAAGAGAAGTTATTTTCTATCTGGACTGAACATGACATTAAATGTGTTTTGCAGAATTACCTGTCCCAGATTCTTGTCCATCCTTTATTTCTGTGGCTGCATTCGAAACAGAAACTTTCTCGTCACTTGTAACCTGAATGGAATTTGAATCAAAATAATCACCAAAAAAGTAGGTTTCATAGACTCTGCAGTTACTAGTTCAAAATATAAATGAAAATTTAATTACTTTTAACGCTGGTGGTTTCTGAGAAGACACTGAAAAGCAAAAGGGATACATAATCACTCGTACGTAAATATGACAAAGTTATCCATACATGCATACAGTTTTAGCATCAACCTGTATCCTCCTGCCTGTATTAGTGTAGGCTTTGATGTTTTCTACTTTGTGTCTGGGGACTGGAACATGACAGAGATACACTGACAAAAGGGAACACAGGCTTCATGAAATATACCCTTACAATTGCAAACTTGGTATGATTTGTCATATGTCTAAAACTAAAATAAAACGTGTCAATATCAATGTGGATATGCCGAGTGATGAGGACAAATGTGACCTAAATCAGTGGAGCAACTCATACACCTGAGAATCAATGTCAAAGCAGGTGGTACACGATCCCGCATGTCTTTCATGCAGGAAATCAGAAGGATTTATATAATTATACTACAAACATTCATCACGCTCTTCAACTCGTCCGATAACTGGGAAGGCACACAATTACAATGACACTTCACGTCTCTTCAGTGGAAGTGTCCTAAATTGATCAGATTGGATATATGTTTGTTGAAACCTAGTAGATAATATTCATTTTTTCTCACTCCCGTGTGGTGTAGTAATTTGAATAAGTGTCTTGTATCTGCTAGTTTAGCCTTCTGAAAGTTTCTTCAAACATTCACAGTAACAGAAAATAATATATTAGCCTCAATAAAAACATCATGAATTACCAATTTTGACATATGTCTACAAAGCCACATTGTTACCAGCATTAAATACTAATAGAATTTACACTGAGAAATCACTCCAATATTCATTGAAAATGACCATTTTGGAGTTAATTCGAATTCAACATAATTTTTGTTACTAAAATGGTCTTGGTGGGAATATCACACTATTCTCTAAAGATGTCTCACTGAATAGCTATTTTATCCAAGAGTTAGCTCCTTGAACAACAAAGCCAATGTATTTATATTCCAGTTTATCTCAATATTATAAGTAAAATCAACAAAACATGTATCCCTGATGCCTAATAGTAACAAAGAAGAGTAAGGAGTCACTGTGGTTTATCTCAATTGTAGCATTACTTCCTGTTTCCAGTAGTTCCTGGAGCTGCCAAAATCAAATATTCTTTCATGCAAATATTCCAAAAATATCTGAAGGGAGTTCACTCAGGTTTCCTCGGCGGAAACCCCAAAATTTCATAAATAACCTCTTCTTTCCCTACTTCCTGCCTCACAATTCCTCTTGCTTGAGCAAAATAATTGCTACATCATTGATCTTGTTAGTTCTCATTCTACAGTGTTTTTGGGGTATTAGGATTACTTTTGCCTCTGTTCATAGCAATACGATCTGATGTCTATAATATCTATTACTTCATCTCTTTCTCCTTCCCCTCTTGATGGAAACATGCTGTAGAATTAAAGGAAAATGATGCTGTCTCCTGAGCCTCTTATGTGTTAAACTGCTCTCCAATGGTTCTTCTTCCCTGTTTCAAAGTAGGGAAGTCTGTAATCTTAGTACTCAGATCACGGCCAAAGACCAGCAGCATGAGGCTCACCCGAGAACTTATTACAAAGGAAGAATCTCAGGCGTGCTGAAACAGAACGTGAACCTTCGACGAACCCCATGCTGATTTATTTGGGGAGGGGAAGTTCTCTTCTATCTTGATTGAACCTGACATTATATGCGTATTGCAAAATTACCTGTTCCAGATATTTGTGCATCCTTTATTTCTGTGGTTATATTCGAAACAGAATCTTCCTTGTCACTTGTAGCCTGAATGGAATTTGAAACAAAATAATCAATACATAAAGTACAGTTCATAGACTATACAGTTACTAGTTCAAAATATAAATGAGAGTTTAATTACCTTCAAGGCTGGTTGTTTCTGAGAAGACACTAAAAAGCAAAAGGGACACATAATCACTCATATGTACATAAGATAATGTTATTCATACATTCATGAGGTGTTAGCATCAAGCTGTATCCTCCTGCCTGTATTAGTGTAGGATTTGATGTTTTCTACTTTAGAAATACACTGAAAAAAAGGAATACAGGCTTCATGAAATATACCCTTACTATTTCAAACATGGTATGATTAGTCGTATGTCTAAAACTAAAATAAAACCGTGTCTATATCAATATGGATATGTCGATTGATGAGGAGACACATGATGTAAAATCCTCAGCAATTCACACACCTGAGAAACAATGTCAAAGCAGGTGGTACATGATCGTGCATGTCTTTCAGACAAGAAAGCAAGAGGATTATTACACCATTATACTACAAACATTCATCATGCTCTTTAGCCTGATAACTGAGAACTTACACAATTACAATGACACTTTAGTTGAATGAACATCTCACGTCTTTTAAATGGAAGTGTCCTAAATTGATCAGCTTGGATATATGTTTCCAGAATTGGAGTAATAATATTCATTATTTCTCACACCCGTGTGGTGTCATAATTTGCCTAAGTTTCTTGTATTCTCTAGTTTAGCCTTCTGAACATTTCTTCATCCACTCATGGCAACAAAGTATAATATATAAACCTCAATAAAGAGCATAATCAATTATTAATTTTGACATACTTCTGCTAAATAAAACTCCTACAAGCATTGGATAGCAGTAAGCTTTTCCATTCAGAAATCACGCCAACATTCATTGAAAATGACCATTTACATCAGCTATAACTCCCAATGCAATCCCTCCCCCCTCCCCCCTCCCCATAATAGGCCCCGGTGTGTGATGTCCCCCTTCCCGAGTCCAAGTGATCTCTTTGTTCAGTTCCCACCTATGAGTGAGAACATGCGGTGTTTGGTTTTCTGTTCTTGTGATAGTTTGCTGAGAATGATGGTTTCCAGCTGCATCCATGTCCCTACAAAGGACACAAACTCATCCTTTTTTATGGTTGCATAGTATTCCATGGTGTATATGTGCCACATTTTCTTAATCCAGTCTGTCACTGATGGACATTTGGGTTGATTCCAAGTCTTTGCTATTGTGAATAGTGCCACAATAAACATACGTGTGCATGGGTGACATGGCACAAGTATACATATGTAACAAACCTGCACGTTATGCACATGTACCCTAGAACTTAAAGTATAATAATAATAAAAAAAATAAAAAATAAAAAATAAAAAAAATAAATACAGAAAAAAAAAAATGAAAATGACCATTTAAAGGTTAGTTGATGAATCCAACATTATTTTTGTTTCTAAAATAGTCTTCTTGGGAGTATCATCTATTCTCTAAAAAATATTCATTAAATCATGATTTTTTCCAAGAGTTACCTCTTTGATCAAAGAAGCCAATGTATTCATATTGAAGCATATCTCGTTTTTGTAACTAAAATCAACAAAACATGCAATCTGATGCCTAATAGTTACAAAGAGGAGTAATTAGTCATTGCGGTGTATCCTAATTCTAGCATTCTTTCCTGCATTCTGTAGTTCCAGGAGCTGCCTAAATCAAATCTTCTTTCTGCAAATATGCTACATGCATCTAAAGTGACTTCACTCACGTTTCCTCAGCAGAAATCACAAAATTACATAAATAACTTCTTTTTTTCCCTCCTTCCTGCCTCACAATCCCACTTCCTTGGGAAAACTAATTGCTACATCAGTGGTCTCGTTACTTGTCATTCTAGTGTCCGCGAGTTATTACGATCAAGTTTCCCTCTGTCTTTAGCAGTACGGTGTGATGTCTGTAAAATCTATACTTCATCTCTTTGTCCTTCCACCCTTGGTGAAAACATGCTGTAGAATTAAAGCAAAATTATGCTGTCCCCTGAGCCCCTTACGTCTTGATCTGCTCTCCAATGTTTCTTCTTCCCAATTTCAGTGTGTGGAAGTCTATAATTTTACTGCAAAGATCATATCCAAGACCAGCAGCATCGGCGTCACCAGAGAACTTATAACATTTCAAGAATTTCAGGCCTGCTGAATCAGAATGTGCAGCTTTGACGAGCCCCAGGATGATTTATTCAGGGAAAAGAAGTTCTTTACTATCTGGACTGAACATGACATTAAATGTGTTTTGCAAAATTACCTGTCCCAGATTCTTGTCCATCCTTTATTTCTGTGGCTATATTCGAAACAGAATCTTCCTTGTCACTTGTAGCCTGAATGGAATTTGAAACAAAATAATCAATACATAAAGTATAGTTCATAGACTAAACAGTTACTGGTTCAAAATATATGTGAGAGTTTAATTACCTTCAAGGGTGGCTGTTTCTGAGAAGACACTGAAAAGCAAAAGGGACACATAATCACTCATGTGTACATAAGATAATGTTATTTATACATTCATCAGGTGTTAGCATCAAGCTGTATCCTCCTGCCTGTATTAGTGTAGGATTTGATGTTTTCTACTTTAGAAATACACTGAAGAAAAGGAATACAGGCTTCACGAAATATACCCTTACAATTTCAGATAAGGTATAACTCGTCATATGTCTAAAACTAAAATAAAACCATGTCTATATCCATATGGATATGCCGAGTGATGAGAAGAAATGTGATGTAAAATCAGTGCAGCAATTCATACACCTGTAAATCAATGTCAAAGCAGGTAGTACATGATCTTGCATGTCTTTCAGGCAAGAAAGCAGAAGGATTTACAACATTATACTACAAACATTCATCATGCTGTTTAACTTGCCTGATAACTGAGAACTTACACAATTACAATGACACTTTAGTTGAATGGACATTTCCTGTCTTCCAAGTGGAAGTGTCCTAAGTTCATCAGCTTGGATATATGTTTCCGGAATCGGAGTAAATAATATTCACTATTTCTCACACCTGTGTGGTGTCACAATCGCCTAAATTTCTTGTATTCTCTAGTTTAGCCTTCCGAACATTTCTTTATCCACTCATGGCAACAAAGTATAATATATAAACCTCAATAAAGAGCATAATCAATTATTAATTTTGACATACTTCTACTAAATAAAACTTCTACAAGCATTGGCTATTAGTTAGCTTTTCCATTTGGAAATCATGCCAACATTCATTGAAAATGAGCATTTTAAGGGTCAGTTCATGAATTCAACAGTATTTTTGTTTCTAAAATAGTCTTGCTAGGAGTATCATGCTATTCTCTAAAGAATATTCATTAAATCGCGATTTTTTCCAAGAGTTACCTCTTTGATCAAAGAAGCCAATGTATTCATATTCAAGCGTATCTCATTTTTAAAACTAAAATCAAAGAAACATGTAAGTCTGATGACTAATAGCAACAATAGTCATTGTGGTTTATCCCAATTCTAGCATTCTTTGCTGCATCCTGTAGTTCCAGGAGCTGCCAAAATCAAATCTTCTTTCTGCATATATGCTACATGCACCTGAAGTGAGTTCACTCAGGTTTCCGCAGGAGAAAACCCAAAATTACATAAATAACTTCTTTTCCCTCCTTCCTGCCTCACAATCCCTCTTCCTTGGGGAAACTAATTGCTACATCAGTGGTCTCGTTACTTCTCGTTCTAGTGTCCACAAGTTATTACGATCCAGTTTCCGTCTGTCTTTAGCAGTACGGTGTGATGTCTACAAAATCTATACTTCATCTCTTTCTCCTTCCACCCTTGGTGAAAACATGCTGTAGAATTAAAGCAAAATTATGCTGTCCCTTGAGCCCCTTACGTCTTGATCTGCTCTCCAATGTTTCTTCTTCCCAATTTCAATGTGTGGAAGTCTATAATCTTACCGGGAAGGTCATGTCCAAGACCAGCAGCATCGGCGTCACCAGAGAACTTATTAAATATGAAGAATCTCAGGTCTGCTGAATCAGAATGTGCAGCTTTGACAAGCCCCACGATGATTTACTCAGGGAAGGGAAGTTCTTTTCTATGTGGACTGAACATGACGTTAAATGTGTATTGCAGAATTACCTGTCCCAGATTCTTGTCCATCCTTTATTTCTGTGGCTATATTCGAAACAGAATCTTCCTTGTCACTTGTAGCCTGAATGGAATTTGAAACAAAATAATCAATACATAAAGTACAGTTCATAGACTATACAGTTACTAGTTCAAAATATAAATGAGTGTTTAATTACCTTCAAGGTTGGTTGTTTCTGAGAAGACACTAAAAAGCAAAAGGGACACATAATCAATCATATGAACATAAGATAATGTTATTTGTACATTCATGAGGTGTTAGCATCAAGCTGTATCCTCCTGCCTGTATTAGCGTTGGATTTGATGTTTTCTACTTCAGAAATACACTGAAGAAGAAGAATACAGGCTTCACCAAATATACCCTTACAATTTTAAACATGGTACGATTAGTCGTAGGTCTAAGACTAAAATAAAACCGTGTCTATATCAATATGGATATGGCGAGTGATGAGGAGAAATGTGACGTAAAATCAGAGCAGCAATTCATACACCTGAGAATCAATGTCAAAGCAGGTGGTACATGATCCTGCATGTCTTTCAGGCAACAAAGCAGAAGGATTTATACCATTATACTACAAACATTCATCATGCTGTTTAACTTGCCTGATAACTGAGAACTTACACAATTACAATGATCCACTTTAGTTGAATGGACATTTCCCGTCTTCTAAGTGGAAGTGTCCTAAGTTCATCAGCTTGGATATATGTTTCTGGAATCTGAGTAAATTATATTCACTATTTCTCACACCCGTCTGGTGTCATAATTCGCCTAAGATTCTCGCATTCTCTAGTTTAGCCTTCTGAACATTTCTTCATCCACTCATGGCAACAAAGTATAATATATAAACCTCAATAAAGAGCATAATCAATTATTAATTTTGACATACTTCTGCTAAATAAAACTCCTACAAGAATTGGATATTAGTGAGCTTTTCCATTCAGAAATCACGCCAACATTCATTGAAAATGACCATTTTAAGGGTCAGTTGATGAATTCAACAGTATTTTTGTTTCTAAAATAGTCTTGTTAGGAGTATCATGCTATTCTCTAAAGAATATCATTAAATTGCGATTTTTCCAAGAGTTACTTCTTTGATCAAAGAAGCCAATGTATTCATATTCAAGCATATCTCATTTTTAAAACTAAAATCAACGAAACATGTAAGTCTGATAACTAACAGTAACAAAGAGGAGTAATTAGTCATTGTAGTTCATCCCAATTCTAGCATTCTTTCCTACATCCGGTAGTTCCTGGAGCTGCCAAAATGAAATCTTTTTTCTGCAAATATGCTACATGCTTCTGAAGTGAATTCACTCAGGTTTCCTCAGCAGAAAACACAAAATTACATAAACAACTTCTTTTCCCTCCTTCCTGCCTCACAAACTCACTTCCTTGGGAAAACTAATTGCTATATCAGTGGTCTGGATACTTCTCGTTCTAGTGTCCGCGAGTTATTAACGATCAAGTTTCCGTCTGTCTTCAGCAGTATGGTGTGATGTCTATAAAATCTATACTTCATCTCTTTCTCCTTCCACCCTTGGTGAAAATATGCTGTAAAAAATTATGCTGTCGCCTGAGCCCCTTGCATCTTGATCTGCTCTCCAATGTTTCTTCTTCCCAATTTCAATGTGTGGAAGTCTATAATCTTACTGTGAAGATCATGTTCAAAACCAGCAGCATGGGCGTCACCCGAGAACTTATTACATATGAAGAAAGTCAGGCCTGCTGAATCAGAATGTGTAGCTTCGACTAGCCCCATGCTGATTTATTCAGGGAAGAGAAGTTATTTTCTATCTGGACTGAACATGACATTAAATGTGTTTTGCAGAATTACCTGCCCCAGATTCTTGTCCATCCTTTATTTCTGTAGCTATATTCAAAACAGAATCTTTCTCGTCACTTATAACCTGAATGGAATTTGAAACAAAATAATTAATAAATAAAGTAGGTTTCATAGACTCTACAGTCACTAGTTCAAAATATAAATGAAAATTTAATTACCTTCAAGGCTGGTGGTTTCTGAGAAGACACTGAAAAGCAAAAGGGATACATAATCACTCGTATATAAATATGATAAAGTTATCCACACAGGCATACAATGTTAGCACCAAGCTGTATCCTCCTGCCTGTATTAGTGTAGGCTTTGCTGTTTTCTACCTTGTTTCTGGGGACTGGAACATGACAGAAATACACTGACAAAAGTGAACACAGGCTTCATGAAATATACCCTTACAATTGCAAACTTGGTATGATTTGTCATATGTCTAAAACTAAAATAAAACCGTGTCAATATCAATGTGGATATGCCGAGTGATGAGGACAAATGTGACCTAAATCAGTGAAGCAACTCATACACCTGAGAATCAATGTCAAAGCAGGTGGTACACGATCCCGCATGTCTTTCATGCAGGAAATCAGAAGGAATTACATAATTATACTACAAACATTCATCACGCTCTTTAACTTGTCCGATAACTGGGAAGGCACACAATTACAATGACACTTCACGTCTCTTCAGTGGAAGTGTCCTAAATTGATCAGATTGGATATATGTTTGTTGAAACCTAGTAGATAATATTCATTTTTTCTCACTCCCGTGTGGTGTAGTAATTTGAATAAGTGTCTTGTATCTGCTAGTTTAGCCTTCTGAAAGTTTCTTCAAACATTCACAGTAACAGAAAATAATATATTAGCCTCAATAAAAACATCATGAATTACCAATTTTGACATATGTCTACAAAGCCACATTGTTACCAGCATTAAATACTAATAGAATTTACACTGAGAAATCACTCCAATATTCATTGAAAATGACCATTTTGGAGTTAATTCGAATTCAACATAATTTTTGTTACTAAAATGGTCTTGGTGGGAATATCACACTATTCTCTAAAGATGTCTCACTGAATAGCTATTTTATCCAAGAGTTAGCTCCTTGAACAACAAAGCCAATGTATTTATATTCCAGTTTATCTCAATATTATAAGTAAAATCAACAAAACATGTATCCCTGATGCCTAATAGTAACAAAGAAGAGTAAGGAGTCACTGTGGTTTATCTCAATTGTAGCATTACTTCCTGTTCCAGTAGTTCCTGGAGCTGCCAAAATCAAATATTCTTTCATGCAAATATTCCAAAAATATCTGAAGGGAGTTCACTCAGGTTTCCTCGGCGGAAACCCCAAAATTTCATAAATAACCTCTTCTTTCCCTACTTCCTGCCTCACAATTCCTCTTGCTTGAGCAAAATAATTGCTACATCATTGATCTTGTTAGTTCTCATTCTACAGTGTTTTTGGGGTATTAGGATTACTTTTGCCTCTGTTCATAGCAATACGATCTGATGTCTATAATATCTATTACTTCATCTCTTTCTCCTTCCCCTCTTGATGGAAACATGCTGTAGAATTAAAGGAAAATGATGCTGTCTCCTGAGCCTCTTATGTGTTAAACTGCTCTCCAATGGTTCTTCTTCCCAATTTCAAAATAGGGAAGTCTATAATCTTAGTACTCAGATCATGGCCAAAGACCAGCAGCATGAGGCTCACCCGAGAACTTATTACAAAGGAAGAATCTTAGGCGTGCTGAAACAGAATGTGAACCTTCGACGAACCCCATGCTGATTTATTTGGGGAGGGGAAGTTCTCTTCTATCTTGATTGAATATGACATTATATGGATATTGCAAAATTACCTGTTCCACATATTTGTGCATCCTTTATTTCAGTGGCTATATTCGAAATAGAATCTTCCTTGTCACTTGTAGCCTGAATGGAATTTGAAACAAAATAATCAATACATAAAGTACAGTTCATAGACTATACAGTTACTAGTTCAAAATATAAATGAGAGTTTAATTACCTTCAAGGCTGGTTGTTTCTGAGAAGACACTAAAAAGCAAAAGGGACACACAATCACTCATATGTACATAAGATAATGTTATTCATACATTCATGAGGTGTTAGCATCAAGCTGTATCCTCCTGCCTGTATTAGTGTAGGATCTGATGTTTTCTACTTCAGAAACACACTGAAGGAATAGAGGCTTCACTAAATATATCCTTACAATTTCAAACGTGGCATGTCTAAAACTAAAATAAAACCGTGTCTGATCAATAAGGATATGTCGAGTGAATAGGAGAAATGTGATGTAAAATCAGAGCAGCAATTCATACACCTGAGACACAATGTCAAAGCAGGTGGTACATGATCCTGCATCTTTCAGGCAAGAAAGCAGAAGAATTTACACCATTATACTACAAACATTCACGATGCTCTTTAATTTGCCTGATAACTGAGAACTTACACAATTACAATGACACTTTAGTTGAATGGACATTTCACGCCTTTTAAGTTGGAAGTGTCCTAAATTGATCAGCTTGGATATATGTTTCCGGAATCGGAGTAAATAACATTCACTATTTCTCACACCCATCTGGTGTAATAATTCCCCTAAGTTTCTTGTATTCTCTAGTTTAGCCTTCCAAACATTTCTTTATCCACTCATGGCGACAAAGTATAATATATAATCCTCAATAAAGAGCATAATCAATTATTAATTTTGACATACTTCTGCTAAATAAAACTCCTATAAGAATTGGATATTAGTAAGCTTTTCCATTTGGAAATTATGCCAACATTCGTTAAAAATGACCATTTAAGGGTTAGTTGATGAATTCAACAGTATTTTTGTTTCTAAAATAGTCCTGTTAGGAGTATCATGCTATTTTATAAAGAATATTCATTAAATCGCGATTTTTTCCAAGAGTTACCTCTTTGATCAAAGAAGCCAATGTAGACATATTCAGGCATATCTCATTTTTATAACTAAAATCAATGAAACATGCAAGTCTGATGCCTAATAGTTACAAAGAGGAGTAATTAGTCATTGCGGTGTATCCCAATTCTAGCATTCTTCCTGCATCCTGTATTTCCAGGAGCTGCCAAAATCAAATTTTCTTTCTGCAAATATGCTACCTGCATCTGAAGTGAGTTCACTCAGGTTTCCTCAGCAGAAATCCCAAAATTACATAAGTAACTTCTTCTTTTCCTCCTTCCTGCCTCACTATCCCTCTTCCTTGGGAAAACTAATTGCTATATCAGTGGTCTCGTTACTTGTCATTCTAGTGTCCGCGAGTTATTACGATCAAGTTTCCGTCTGTCTTTAGGAGTACGATGTGATGTCTACAAAATCTATACTTCATCTCTTTCTCCTTCCACCCTTGGTGAAAACATACTGCAGAATTAAAGCAAAATTATGCAGTCCCCTGAACCCCTTATGTCTTGATCTGCTCTCCAATGTTTCTTCTTCCCAATTTCAATGTGTGGAAGTCTATAATCTTACTGCGAAGATCATGTCCAAGACCAGCAGCATGGGCGTCACCCGAGAACTTATTACATATGAAGAATTTCAGGCCTGCTGAATCAGAATGTGCAGCATCAACGAGTCCCTCGCTGATTTATTCAGGGAAGAGAAGTTATTTTCTATCTGGACTGAACATGACAGTAAATGTGTTTTGCAAAATTACCTGTAGCAGATTCTTGTCCATCCTTTATTTCTGAGGCTGTATTCGAAACAGAATCTTTCTCGTCACTTGTAACCTGAATGGAATTTGAAACAAAAAAATCAACAAATAAAGTAGGTTTCATAGACTCTGCAGTTACTAGTTCCAAATTTAAATGGAAATTTATTTACCTTCAAGACTGGTTGTTTCTGAGAAGACACTGAAAAGCAAAAGGGATACATAATCACTCGTACGTAAATATGATAAAGTTATCCATACATGCATACAGTGTTAGCACCAAGCTGTATCCTCCTGCCTGTATTAGTGTAGGCTTTGATGTTTTCTGCTTTGTGTCTGGGGACTGGAACATGACAGAAATACACCGAAAAAAGGAAATACCGGCTTCATGAAATATACCCTTACAATTGCAAACACGGTATGATTTGTCATATGTCTAAAACTAAAATTAAACCCTATCAATATCAATGTGGATATGCCAAGTGATGAGGAGAAATGTGACTTAAGTCAGTGGAACAACTCATACACCTGAGAATCAATGTCAAAGCAGGTGGTACATGATTCCCAATGTCTTTCATGCAGGAAATCAGAAGGTTTTACGTAATTATACTACAAACATTCATCATGCTCTTTAACTTGTCCGGCAACTAGGAACGTACACAATTACAATGACACTTCAGTTGAATGTACACTTCACGTCCCTTCAGCTTGGATATATTTTTGCAGAAACCTAGTAGATAACATTCATTATTTCTGACACCAATGTGATGTAATAATTTGCCTAACTTTCTTGTATCCACTAGGTGAGCCTTTCGAAAGTTTCTTCATCTAGTCATGGTCACAAACGTTCATATATATTAGCCTCAATAAAAATATCATCAACTGTCATTTTTGACATATATCTCTAAAGTAAAAATGCTATAAGCATTAGATATTAATAAGGTTTCTATGCAGAAATCATTCCAATATTCATTGAAAATGACAATCTTAGGAGTTAATTTCATTTCATCATAATTTTTGTTTCTAAAATAGTCTTGTGGGGAGTATCATACTATTCTCTAAAGAAGTTTAAATAGTTATTTTATTCAAGAGTAAACAAAGCCTTGAACAACAAAGCCAAAGCATTCGTAATCATGTTTATCTCATTTTTATAACTAAAATCAACAAAACATGTATTTCTGATGCCTAATCGTCACAAAGAGGAGGAATGAGTCATTCTGGTTTATCCCAATTCTAGCATTATTTCCTGCTTCCAGTAGCTCCTGCAGCAGCCAAAATCAAATCTTCTTTTATGCAAATATTCCAAATGCATCTGAAGTAAGTTTACTCAGGTTTCCTCAGCAGAAACTCCAAAATTACATCAATAACTTCTTCTTTTTCCTCCTTCCTGCCTCACAATCCCTCATCCTAGAGGAAAACAATTGCTACATCAGTGGTCTGGTTAGTTCTCATTCTACAGTGTTTATGGGGTATTTGGATCACTTTTCCCTCTGTTTATAGCAATACGATCT